TGATTTATGAACTGCTCATTACTCTTTTGTTTTTTGCTCATATGGTGCATATACATTTTTATCAAGAGTGTGTGTGTGAGAGGGTGAGAGAGAAAAACGGAAAGCAAACAAACTGTACGATGTAAATGTTTTATTTTTCTTAGAATAGAAAAAAAACTGAGAAATAATCCACACAGTTACAATAATGTTGGTATCTGTGTCATAAACCAAGTATTGATTTTTTTTAATGATTTGTAATATTGCACTGAAACAATAAGTATTACGTAATAATCAGTATAAGGTTGGGAAGATTACTAAATTTTTGATTGAGATCATGAATCGATTGATGTTAGATCACCATTGAAAACCTGGAAGCACTGGACTCTTCAGCAGTACATATTTATGATCCCACTTACGGAATTCGAACCCATGACCTTCGGTCTCGCTCGCGAACTCGTGATTACTGCAATTTTTGTTTTCAGTTAAGGCTTTGTGATTTCACAGTTATTCTCGAGTTATTCATAACATACAGATCGACATTACATACTAGACTGTTTAGAAGTGATGTAGAGTATGGTTATAAATGGTGGATTTACTTTATTTACTTCATTTACTTTATAAAGTGATTCGATAAGCACATAGCGTAAGCACGACTTTGAAGGAATCATAATGAATATTTAGACAACTGTTAGTTCATTAGTAAACAGTTTTGTAAATCGATGGTTGAAGTAAAATAAAACAATAATATTGTAGTATATAGATAAATTTTATATAATTAATGGATCTATTAAACTTTTTTGAGAGTTAATCTGTCCGTAAATCGACAAAACGATGTTATATAAATTCTTTCACATACATCTAGAACAGCGGTCTTCTCGAACTTGTATCTAGAAATAAAACGACTTTCAGAAGTCCCCAAATTTTTCCTGGCTGAGGTCAAAGATTTGTGTTGGGAATAAGGAGCACAGCAGCATTACGGGATGAACAGTAGTAACTTTAGATTTAAGCTAGAATTAAGGGTTTAGGCTTAGGATCAAGAATCAGTGTTTAATCATGTGTTATATATATATATTATCTGAATACAAAGTGTTGAGTACGTTGATACTTTTAGTGTCATTTTCAATCCTAAATAAACATGATGAAAGATAAAATTCATTCGTTCTGGAATTTCTCACTAAAACATGAAGGTCATTTCCTCACTTCTGATTGCTTCATCTCTATACTATAATTTAACCAAACGGTCAACAGTTATGTTCATTTTATAATTAACAGTTATCATTCCTGACTGCTTTATCTGTCAGCTTAACTACAATCGATTATATGTTCTGTTAACATTATATGTGTCCTGTCTAATAGTAAATTTGAATCAAGTAGATGACACAAACCCGTCACTTTACATATCTTAATAATAGAAAATAACAATTGGTAAGCTTAAATAATAACGATAAGTTTGAATGACAAATTCATGATCTCTTTCAGACAATCAAAGGACGAAAAACATAGAGGAATGATCTTTAATATGTTGACATGGTTTACACTTTCATATTGAGATAACGTTTAAAGGTCGCTGTAATGGATAACTAAGGTTTCTATCGTAACTCTAACGCTAATTATAAATCTCAAGCATCCAGGTTCAATAAGTGACACTCTATTCTGATAAATCAGCCATGACCTACAAACAATTGAGTAATTAACAAAAATACCATTGAATGTTTAAACATACTTACTAGTAGAACAAATATTTGATAACCTAGCAATATGAGTAGAAAGGGATAATGGATAGTACCGTTCGCGTTATCCATTTACCTACTGAGTTCTGATAGCCACTTGCTTGTGCAATAGGGTGAAGTTTTAATTCACTTAATATTGTTTACTTGAATCTTCCCATTGATGTTTTTAGGACTGAAATTCATAAGTTTGTTATTGACATATGTACATCCTCTGAGGATTGCCTCGATATTGCTTTAATTCACAAGCGTTTTAAGCAAATATATATAGTGCCTAGCAATGAATAATCGAAAATGTTTGAAGTGAACGGTACTAAGTTCGAGTTCTAGAGTGTACATGAATCCTGAGATGTAGGTACATCCAGCTGACGAGTTCTAAATAAGACGAAACGAACTAGTCACCATCCATCTCTGTTGGAAGATTTAAGTAAAACAATACCCAGTAAATGTAACTAACTGTATGCATTACATAATCGAAATAATAAAACATTTTCATATTCACATGTTACGAAAAATAGAAAAAAAAAGATCCGTTTTTTTCTCAATGACACATGAATGTAAACTTATATGAAGAAAATAAGAAAAACCCAACTTTGTTTTAAATGTTAATGCATAAAATTCAATTTATTCATTGTATATTTTACTTAAAAATTATGTTAAGCACACATATTTTTAATGTTAGAATACATATATGCCATGTGAATTAGTTACTGATTACTAAATGTAAACTAATCTATATTATCAGAAGGGGTTTTGTGGAGATTTTAGAAATTTCACTGAATGAAATCATGAGTCAACTGAAGCTAGATCACCATGGAAAATCTGGAAGCACTGGACAGCCGTTTCGTCCTAGTATGGGACTCCTGAGCAGTGCGCATCCACGATCCTGCACCCCGCGAGATTCGAACCTAAGACCTATCTATATTATACTGTTCTATATTCAATATTCATTATTTACGCTAGTTACTTTACATGGAGGAGTATAGGCTGTTCACCAGTAGTCTTCATTCAATCATGTCCTAAGTAATCCTTTCCAGTTGTTTCTAGTTACTATTCGTTTTTTCTATGTCTGTTTCAAATTCTTAATGTGGTGTGTGTTTTTTGATCTTCCGCTTTTTTTGTTTGGTTTGTGATATAGTTTAATGATTTCCTCAATGTCAGTCCTATCCACTTCTAATGTCTTTTCTTAATTTCCTCTTCAGTTGAAAGTTGATTTATTCTCTTCAACAGTAGGATGTTACTGATGATATTCGACCAATGAACATTAAGTATCTTGTGTAGATAATCATTTATAAATACTTATACCTTTTTGATGATGGTTGATACAAGTATTTATAGATAATCCATTGATCATAATTCTATTTGTTGTGATATTCTAATGAATAGTAATTAGTATTTCTGATGTTTTCCGAGTTACCAGAATAAATAAACACACGTTTAAATAGTACTGAAAGGACCAAGTGTTAATGGCAGTCTCAAGCTGAGATAAAAGAGGAGGGTTGGGCATGGAGTCACCAACACCATCCCGTAGAAAAAAACCTTTATAAATTAGATTTTACCAGAAAAAACAAACTGAACTATTTAAACTCTGTCCTGGGAGTTGAAAGATATTCATATAGAAGGGTTATCACACCTCATGCAGGAAACCGTGATTCTTCAGAAATCACGACGCTGAATAAGAAATTAGGGATAGATGCTGCATGTGGATAGAATATACATTAAGGAAATCATCAAACTGCATTACGAAGCAAACCTTAACATTGAATCCTGAAAGCAAGTGGAAAAGATCAAGACTAAGGAAGATACTGCATCAAGAATAGGGAACATCTTTTTTCCTCAACCTTGAAATAAGCATTAAAAGATTTTTTAGGAGTTTCCATATTGTTCTTTTCTAAGTTTATACATTAGAGTCAAGGTATTCATCATAGTCTGACATTGGCTATCCTGCATGAATGCGTTGTAGCCATATGAATGAATAAATAAATGAATTTAACACATAAACCTATGGGACACTATCTTAAATCTCATTGGTTAGTCCATTAAGTATAGCGCCATAGAATTAGTAATTTAGTGTTAGTATTTACAGATGGTGTTGGTCTGCTCTTTATTGTACTATCTACAGAAGGCAAATCAAGCATCTGATACGTTTAATACTATCACTTTTATTTTATGATATCAAAAAATTATTCCCCATTGTCATTTTAAGCATTCTGTTATGTTCTGATGTCCCGTTAATTATCACGTGGTGAAATCACCAATCAGAACACCGACTTATACGACCTTGGCACCAATACCATCAGTCTAGAGTCAACGTTGAGTTCTTATTGGTCCTCTGAGATAGTAGCCTCTCGACTAACTCAGCCGGTTTATTCCAGAAAACCAATATCAGTATCTTCTATATAAATCATATATTTCAGACATATTTGGTTTATATACAGGCCAAACAGATCACATTACGCTATAAAATAGAAAATAACGATTATACCAGATCAAGCCAAAAGTGGCTGTGAGCGTGAAAGACTATAGCTAATATTTGCCTGGTACCTGTATGCCAGACTAATTTCAACTTGTTCAATATTCATTGATTTTAAGTTTATGAATTTATATTTGACAAAAAAGCGGTGAGGCATGAACTCAAGAGGCTTCTAGAAAATGAAAGAAAAGCTAATTGTATTTTCCCCTAGATGCACAAATGTAACATGCTTTAGTGATTTTCATTGGACAACGTGAAAATGTTCAATTATCCATAAATTTGATTCGATCATTTACTAAATAATCATTTACTTTAAATAATTGAGAGCATGAGTCAATTGAAGCTAGATCACCATGGAAAATATGAAAGCACTGGGCGGCCGCTTCGTCCTATCGAGGAACTCCTCAGCAGTAACCCCTATTCCGCCTTGCGTGTTTTGAACCCTGGATCTATCGGTCTCGCGCACGAACGCTTAATCTCTAGACCATCTAGTCGGCCTGTATCTAACTGTGTTAAAGCCTAACTTCAACTAATTCACGAAATTGAGCGACACATGCACCATTGTCTTCATTGAGTTACTATCTCACAACAGACCCGATTGAACTCCACTATTTCCTGCTTCTTACTAGAACTCCAGGAAATACCTTTTGAGGAATCCTACAATAGGACGAAACGTCCGTCTAGGGCTTCCAGGTTTTCAAAGATTGTCTAGCTTCAGTTAACTCACGATCTCAACTATTAAAATTACTATAATATCCACAAAACCTCGTTTGATATTAATCATTTATTTGTTTATTTCCTTCAAATTTCAATATTTCTAGTCAATTACTGATTCATTACAACAACTTAAAAGACCAGAAGAAGATATTGATATAATATATTCTACTGAAATTATTGCACCACCAGCAATTCCAACTAAAATGTCATCTGATCCAAATAATCCTATTTATGTGAATCATTCAATTAAACCAAATAGACCACCAACTATAGATAGAAAAGAAACTGATGTAAGTTAAATCATTCTGAAATATAAAATTACATTATACTCTTATTTATTTACTATGTATGTATCATTTCAATAAGTGTATAGCTTATTAAAAGTAATATATTAACCATAAACATCAATTGATCAATACATTTACAAAAAGAAGAGACTGAAATGAACTGAGTTCAAATCTCGCAGGGTGCAGGATCATGGATGTTCACTGTTGAAGAGTCTCACACTAGGACGAAACAATTGTTCAGTGTTTCAAGATTTCCCATGATGATCTAGCTTTAATTAACTTATTTTTTTTCACTTTTCTAATCATATGAGAAAGTTATTACTAATGAATTCTTTGAATATTCTACCCGTAAAGTGTAATATTCAAATCTTGAAAGATTAATATTCATTGTAATAGATACATATGAGTTTATTCATAATGTTTCCAGTGATAGATGAATGTTTTATATTCTGAAAGTTTGATCATTTTCATAGTTATTTCATTTGATAAATACTTGATACATCATAATATTGAATTTTCGCTAGGAATTTCATTTTAAAATGTAAACATCCAGTATATTTATGGGTGTTTTCCATTTGGGTATATCATGTTCTATTATATTAACACGTTCATAATGAACGGTTATGGTTGGCTGAGATAGAAATTACCATAACATATAGCATTTTTAAATGAACTGAATACAACATAGAAAATGTTGAGAATAGCGATATTTCTGTGGGAATAAATCGATTGAATCGATCGAAGGTACACAATTAACTAGTATCAGAAGGAGTTTTGTAGAAATTGAGTCAACTGAAGCCAGATCATCATGGAAAACCTGGAAGCACTGAATAGCTAATTAATTGTTGCTTACAGTTTCAAAATATCTTACATAAACTAAATATTGAGATGGTAGAGAATATTTGTATCTCAGGTGGATGATTTTGATGAAGTTTTGTTCTGTGAACTTGATGGTTTGATCGTGAAGCTCTCATCGTTACTCTGGACGACATCACCAGCACAAACGTTAGGTAGAAGTGAAGTGTTTGAATTTCTCCACATATGATTCACAGCTTATCCTGTAAACCTCAATATTGATTGGTTATTGTTGACATTTAACCTGTTACGGTTTGCTTCTTTATTTTGAATGTATCTTGCATTGATTTGATTTTTGGTCCTATATTTGTCCGTAGTTTTTGTGATTGATTGATAAAGTTGATCGTCTTCAATGTGTTTGGTGATTGTTGATTGACCTGAGTGCCAAGCTTTTAAAAATTCTCTGTTTTTAGAATTGCATCTATTCAAGTTCTCAACATTTTCCCAGTCGAATTTGTGTCTGCAGTTGTCCACATGCATTGATGTAAGCGAGGATATGTCATTGCGTTTGACCGTTAATTAATGTTTGTGTATGTGAAGATGAAGAGTGCGTCCGCTTTGTCCGATATAGTGTTTTTTGCAATCGGAACAATTTATTTTGTAGATGATGTTCGGTTTTTTTTTGTCATTTCATCCTTCGGTTCGCATCGGATTGATTGAAGTGATTTTACTGGTTTGTATGCTAGATATATTCCAAAAGGCTTCAACAATCTCGTTGTAATTTCTGATAGGTCTTTCATATATGATAAGATGATCCCTTTGTTGGTTTCTGTGCTTCATTTTGTTCCTGCCGCTGCGTTTGGTTGGTATTTTTTGATCAAGTTGATTGGGTAGTTGTTCTTTTGAAAGATAATCTTCAGACATTTTTCTTCACTTTTCCGCGCTGCAAGTGTGTTGCACTGTGTCCTCTCCTTTTGTACGCAGTTGATTTTGTGAGCTCTTGGGTTGTCGCTACTGTAATTTAAAATTTGATCTGTGTTGGTCGGCTTCCAATATACTTGAGCCTCCAGTTTTCCCGTGTCGGTTCTGATAATTATTGCATGTAAGAATGGTGGTTTCTTGTTTGGCTCCTGTTCCATTTTGAACTTGATGTCATCACAGATGTTGTTCATCAGATTGTAGGTGTTTTCTAGCTCGTCTGTTTTCACGATGACGAGTGTGTCGTCCACAAGATGAATCCAAATTTTTGGCTTGATCACTGGTAAAATCGGGGCTTTCAGTCTCTGCACCACTGCTTCTGCAATAATTAGATTGTTAAAATGAAACTGGTAGAATGCGGTGGAGTTGACCAGCATTGTTTCTTCCCGGTTTGATATGTGAACGTCTATCAAACAGATTTCGAATGTTATTCAGTGATGAAAATACGGAGTATAAAAATTAATTATTCTGATCGGAAATTTCTGAGGAAATATGCATAAAATTTATTTCTATTTTCTGTCATTCATATGTTTGTCTAAAATTTCAACTGGAATAGAGAATATTGCAGTTAGATATATGAGATCTGTTACTTCTCAGTGGCATAGACTTTTTCCGTGGTATTTGTAAAACCAACCATGTTAGTAGTGGTTCTGACGATCACCTAACTTGACTGCAGTACCTAAAAGACAACTGTTTGAGACTGGTTACATATAGCCTTTTTACGAGTAGTTTTATGTTGGTCAGTTCCATACTCTAAAAGCTTCAGTGAATACTACGAAACTTCATGGTGCAAAGTGATAAGTGCTATTCCTAACCCTCTTCTTTCCTTATGGTAAGAAAACATTACTGAAGGAGTTAGTCATCCGACGGAAGCACTCTATTATAGTCACACTTTTGTACTGTCAGCAGTATGATTTCTCTCTCTGGCTCTAAGTTTACTGCTTATAGTCGCATTTCTCTCCCACTAGTTTGCTTGGTATGATGAAACTTAAAAGAACAAATGTTCACTGAATACCATTCAGTCAAGTAATTACAAAACCTACACTCAACAATGTAGTACCTACGATCAGTACTGAAGTACAGAAAAGATATCTGAATGGTCTATATTTATGATTTTACCTTTCCTCCATCCTAATTCCACTTTTTCATTGTATACCTAAATATAATACGATTACATAACCGCCACTTAAAGAGGAAAGATTTGCGTTTTCCTATTAGATTTAAGTTTTCTTCCATATCTCAGTTCTACTTCAAAATGAAATCAATAGAGGATTACTGTTAGAAATCTAATCTTTGATTAATATAGTCTAAACAATAAGGGTTCCTAACATTCTATTGTTGGCAATCCGTAAGATGATTTAACAATAAAAGTAAATAATTCTTAATGTAATTGTCGTCATTATTATTTTTCATTCATTTGAACACATAAATATTGGTACAAAGGGACACCAAATAAATATGCGCCATACAAGTCACTTGATTTGTGTGTGGGATGCCCAGACCGAAACAGGTGATTTTCTTAGAGGGCCATACCCCGAGCCTTCGACCTAAAGATCTGATCCACAAGGCGGTGGAGCAACGTTAAAAGATACAGTCCCATGGTAGCCGATGACCAATAGTTGGTTTGTACTCCATTAGTTTCCTTAAGATCCTGGAGCCAACACATGTGGATCATTGGTTTGGAATCAGGATTTTCTAACTCCCTTAGATGGATCCTTCATATCCACCAAACCAGTTAAAGCGTGACACATTTGCTTCATTATAAATTTGATCAATTTTATTAATGTAGTTCCGAAAATTTAGTTTAATCTATTAATGATAAATTTAAGCAAATTAAAACAAAATTTCTGTATGACAAATAGAAAAATATTCCAATTTATTTAGGAAAATGATAAGCATGTTTATGCAAACAGTCAAGAATTACGAACTGCATTAAAGGTTAGTATGATCTTTATGAGAATGTTTCACCCCTTCCCGCCTCCACCTCAAAAAATAGCTTTTTTCTTTACTCTATTTCTTCTTTTATCCCCCTTTCCCACATAATTACTGATTTCAAATGCATACCTATACACATTAAACACACAAACTTTCATGTGTATGCATGTGTGCATAATATCTGTCAAGACAAATTTACAATGCATATTGAGATTAAAATGAGTTCCCTAACAATGATATGAAGTGAATGCACCATGTTGCATGTTTCCCTTCTTTTGATCACTTCTGTTGTGTCACGATTGTTATAATTCTGTGTGATTTTCCTGTTTGATGTTTACACTCACTAATAATAACACTTTTATGCTCTTTATCAAGAGTTTAAGTTAGTACAAGTATTATATATTATATAAGGAAATTATTTTTCATCAAACGATTCACCAAGCTATCGCAACGTAATCGTAACAATGAACTAAAATGAGACATTTAAATTGATGGTTTGAAGATAGTAGTTTGGTAGTTTGTGTAAATTATTTACCTTGAAGAATACACTGAAAAGCTGTTTCGTCTTAGTCTTAGTCTCCTCTACAGCGAAAGGTTGTAATATCAACTTGGACCCAACCTAAGATCTTTAAGTCTATCAGTAACCACCATTTTAGTGACCAACTTCAAGAAAATTCTCTAACTACTGGAAAAAGAAAATGATGTCTCTTATAGCATTGAAAGATGGTTTATCTGCACATAGAATTCATCAAAAATGAAAATATAAACTTCTGTACTTTATCTGTGTGACCGAATGACGTCATAATTGCCATTGTATCTGTATATTTTAAGTTGAATTTTACTTGTGGTCGTGGATAAACACCGTTGATTTGTATCCCAAGACAGGACTAAACAGCCGTTCAGTGTACCACAGTTTTCTAATGATTCCGTATGTTATTTAAGTTCGCTGTGAAAGCGACTTCAATATGTAAATAGTCTGTTTTAAGGAGCTGTCTAAAATGAGTGCATTAACTAGAACTAAACTGTATGTGCTTCAGAGAAGAAATAATGATTTACAGTCAGTAAAATGTTTCATCAAACTTTAACTACTTAATTTATTTCAGTAGTTAAAATTTTTTAAAAAATTAGCCTATGCAACAAGTTACAATTTACTGTCAATCAGAATTAGCTAATAATGAAATATCGATTTTAAATAATAGTAAATCAATAATATTGTTTTTTCTACCGGAAGCAAGTCCCCACATCCCCTTTTAAAACTCTAATACTACACTATACATTAATCTATGTACATAAATAAATAAATGTCCTTATCGTATATTAGGCAAAGGAGTTTGCGGCGTCAGCTATAGTCGACAGTGTGGTATCCAACAGAGAAACTTATTGGAAAGACGAATTAAATAGTCGAGATACAACTATTCAGCCATTAAACATGAATTATCAACAATATTATTTAACAAGAAGTGAACACTCAACACCTAATCTATCGATTAGATCACAAAGTTACCCAACTAATAATTATCATGAACAAAAGAAGCTTTATTTAACATCAGATTTTCTTTCTACCCAACATCAGTTGTCGTCGCAAAAACCGACACGACCAAGTAATCCACCACTTCTATCCCCTATGGATCATCATCAAAGACAAGATAAATTAGATGAAAAAAATCGGATAGGTATCCGCCGATTGGATTTAATGAATTCAATAAATCCCGGTGACAAATTTACAGATTATGATCATGGACATTTCAACGATACTGTTGGATATTATAACACAGAGGTAAGGTAATGAAATGATCACGCATAGACTAACAAAGCGCTAAAAAGTAGATAAATGGGTACATACATAGATCTATATTAAATTTCACTTCAACTAATACATCATACATTGCTTGATACCCATATAGCTTGATTGATTTATAAGATAGTTCAACTTAATCCCTTAAGTCTATGCATTTTTGTAGTAACAAATGCGTGATTTAGTTTTGTTTTTCACTTTTACCTATACTTGAATCCAGTTATAACAATGTTTAATCACATTACCGAATTGCAGAAATAATAAGGTACTTGATATTTTCAGTATTAAGTTACCTTACATTGTTATTTCTTCGGGATAGTTTCAGTATCCAATTAAACATTGATACTTGACAAACTTTGGTAAGGATGCTGATATTGTCATTAAACTGGATATTCAAGACATGTTTATCAAATTGTCTTTAAGAAATTTCTTTATTATCGTCAATAGTGTTTAATACATTACCAAAGACCTAAGTAAATAAATAGACATATACTCTATAAATCATGATTTAGAAACTGAACAAAAAACTTAATCTTTCCACAGATGATCATCCAGAGGAATACTGTGAGCTTCACTACTAACTGCTTCTTTGTCTAACTATGTGGTTGTTAATAGTAACAGTAATCAATATCGATTCAAATATTAAATATATACTGTTTACAGTTGTAAAGTTAAACAAACCAATGATGATACAACTATCAAACTGTAAATTTTCAATACTATCGAGTCAGCAATCAAACATTTCTAGAAGACGGAGGTGGTGTCTCAATCTCGTAGGTTGGTTGAAGTTAGATATAACCACGGTTGAAAGCCGTCCGACTCAATGGTCTAAAGGTTAAGCGTTTGAGCGCAAGACTAATAGATCCTAAGTTCGAATCTTACGAGGCGAGATCGTGGTTACGCACTACTAAGAATTCCCTTGATAGGACAAAACGACCGTTCAGTGCTTCTAGGTTTTCCATGGTGTTCTAGCTTCAATCGACTCATGAATTAAACTGTAAAATTCTCCACAACCCCCCCCATCTGGTAATTTCTAGAAGAGTTTGCTTCCTTCATAACTAAACATAACACCATTATATGGCTATATGTTGTATCATTTTTAGTTAACTAACCAATATATCTTTCATTATTTTTTAATTTTGTGTTTTAAATGCAAATAATCCATGATAGCTGCTTGCCTTCTTTATGTTTCTTTTGAAGTTAGAATGACTCTATGTTTCTGATGCATCATTTATATTTGCATACTTATTTACTTATCTAGTAAAGAATACTCAGGACATAAATTGATTCTTTATGAAACAGTCTTTTTTCTTCTCATTTACTTACTGATGAATTACAAGTCTATCAATGATATGGTATTGATATAGAGCTTTCTAGCATTATATTACTAACTAACACAAATTTAAGTAATATACTGAGACGTAGATAGCTTGTCTTATTTATCCAAGTTTATTTAGATTCAGTGTTGAATTATGAGTAGTTTCATTTGCTTCGAGTTCATTCCAATAACTTCAATGACTTTTGAAAGAATTTCATAATAATAGAGTCACCTCTTGTAATATATATATTGTCGGAATGACATATTTTCTTACTAATATCAGAGGTTCATGACGGATGATGTTCACTCCGTAAAGATATGTTAAAGTACAGACTGACTTCATCTAGAATCCTCATTGAAAATAAAAAAATACCTGGAAGTGGTTTAGTTTTCTTTTATGGTAAATTTCTGATACACTGGGTGTAAGATGTAAGGTAATTGACGATGAATGAATAATATCTCATCTAAGAAAGGTGAACTACTTGATGTCATATTGAAGGTTGAATACATAATCCAACCGCTTTAGGTTCTGTGGCGAGACTATAATTTATGGATGAGCCAATCAGATTTAAGATAGCAGGTCTTAGATTTTGGCTAAATACCAATTTGGCATTATAGCTGATGTCAATTCGTCATGAAAACATTAAATATAATTTTTAACCCCAACATTCAACTGTACATCCTAATCCTATTCTCTCGCACTAATTTATAACCCTTATTTAACCCTAGTAAGTAGATGGATATTTTCAAGGTTATTTTAGCATTCCTCAAAGGTCGTCCATAAATTATGGTCTCACCAGGTCTACATTTGATTTCTTTCATGAATTTGTGTTTGGGCTGATGAGGAACCTTAAACTATGGCATAAACTACTTGGTTACCAATGTTTTTCTAGTCTAATTTAGTCTTTAATGTTGATAGCCTTTTCATTTATTTCCTTGTCCTGAATCGACTTAGCTATTGATTTTTATAGAAAATATAATATAGCCATCGTTATAATTATCGTTTCATTACAGTAAACAATGATATTTTGTAAGGATAAACTAAATATATTTCAAAGAGAGTAAAAAAAGAAGATTGGTGCAGACTGGTGCACTCAGTAAGTGAAGAGAAGAAAGTCTGGTTTAAATATAAACCAGTTAATATCGCAAACCACTATCTCGTTTCATCCACACCGCAGTCTAAGCTTTTATCCGAAGACCACTTAACAACAATACGAACTGTACTGATCTTCGTTCTTACTCTTTGTAACTTTATAAAGGGAACTATGTGTATGAAATACATTTCATTTATGTACAATGTAACACATTGATAAAGTAATTTAACTGTATACAGTCAACGTTACTCATAAAAAAACGCCAGAAATGGTTTTTGAATAATGAGATATTGCTTAATAGAATCTAGCAGTGTGTAAACTCTTCATTTGATCTGTAATGTGTTATGCTAATTCCAAATGTCCGAATATGCTCTGACAGAAAATGTAACTCTCAATAATCTCATACAACTATCGGTTATTGAAAGTTAATTATCATGTATACATGTTATGTGTAAAATGGTTTACTTAATACGATCTCTTTCTTACACTTGGTCTCTGAAATGACAATACAGCAACGCCATATTTTCATTTCCAAATTAAACATTCTTCTTTTTCATTAATAAAGTATACTGAATGGCTTTTGCCTAGAAAGATCATCTTTTGGATAGAGTTTAATGGCTACAGATTTTAACATTTACTCTACAAAACTGACGTGATTGAACTTGTGATTCAATACATCTACACATTGGCATTCATTTCATACAGTAATAATCGATAAAGATTAACCTTAATAACTTATTAAAACCCAATGTCCTTTTTACAGTTCAAGAGGGATATACACCGGAATTTTGTCAACTACTTCTCTAACGAATATTTACCAAGTGATCAGCAGGTACTTAAGTAATATAATTCTTTAAGTAAGAAAATTACTAACAAAAGAACTTGTGAAGATGGTAGTATTTTTAACAGTTAAATTCATGAGTCAATGTAAGTTACACCACCAGTGAAAACTCGGGAGCACTGGATGGTCGTTTCATCCTAGTAAAGGACGTCTCAGCAATGTGCATCCACGATTCCGCGCGCGGGACCTGGGCTCAGGACCTCAGATCTCACACGAGCACCTAATCACTGGCACGGCATCTGACGGTATTAATGCCTAACTTCAATCAATCCATGATCTTGCACATTTCATCGATTGTCTTTGGTGAGTAAATGTTTTATACCCGACATGGCTTCTCGCTAGAACTAGAGGAAATTCATCTTGAAGCAAGCTATTATTGGGCCGGCTCAGTGGTCTATAGGTTACATGCCCATGTGCGTCATCGAAAGTCCTAGGTTTGAGTCTCAGGTTCGAACTCATGGATGCACACTGTTGAGGAATCACATACTAGAACGAAACAACCATCCAGTGATCCCAGATTTTCAACGGTAATCCAGCTTAGATCAACTTGTGAATTCAACTGTTAAGAAAAAAATACTTTGACGAAATGAAAATACTTCCGATATAATTGAAACAAAATTTGTTATACCCAACAAAAATCTTTTACAATTCTATATTCCATAAAAATAGTCATTATTGATAAGTCATGCTAATTGAACGCTATATTCGATTTCTAAGCTATTCTTGTAATCCCCAAGGTAGAAATACACAGCAACCGGAACACCAGAGAAAAGGGGACAAAAATACATGCGAAAAGCACTTTACTCCAAAGGTTCGATATAGTACAAGAAATATAGAGTTTTTATAGTATTTTAGATGTCGCTGGGTTTTCCGGAAAATTCTAGAATGCTACTAAACATAGTAGCAGCATAGTAATCAGCCAATCAGAAACTCTACATGTGACGTTTCACATTCTTGATGTTTCTGACTAAAGTACAAGTGAACACTGATTGAATAAAATGCTTTTTAGTGTTCCATGAGCCTTTCTTGTGTTTAACGAGAAGTTTTCTGGATCACCCTTAACAATTATTTTTCTTTAAATCATAAACATTTCGTAAATTAAGGAATCAATTTATAATAACATTAACACCGTTGGATACCGGCTCAGTGATCTAGTTGGTTAAGCACCTGGTACGAGACTCATAGGTCCTGGGTTCGAATCTCGTGGGGTGCGAGATCATGGATGCGCACTGCTAAAGAGTCCCATACTAGGACGAAACGGCCGTCTAGTGCTTCCAGGTTTCCCATGGTGGTCTAGCTTCAACTGACTCATGATTTCAATCCAAAAAGAATAAATGTAAGTCGTAACAAATAAAAATGAAGTACATTAAAAACAATATGATAATCATTCTGGATAATAAATCATTATTACCAGATTAGGTTAGAGTAAGAGCCAATCGTTTTTGAACATATAAAGGGGATTTGAGTTTCTGTGTAGCCAAAGATTCTATAAACCTTAGTATACGTCCCTGAAAGATTTTGTGCAACATTACAAAAGCTGACTCGATATCAACCTAATGACTAATCTCAACGAAATGTTTCGCAATGTCAAAATCACTTAAATGGTTAACATCAATTGGCATGTATCCATAGGCTTTTATTTTGTTTTAAAAAGCATGATATTTCCTTTCATCCGTCATGAATAGTTAAGAAAAGTTTGCATTTAATACTTGTATATGTATTGTAATGTATCATTTTTAATAAAAATCCTAACATTATGTTTTCTTTTAACGAACGGTTTATACTACTGAATTAACTACTTGTTAAATTCACTTATTTAACCATTAATAACTTGTTTATTTGCCTTTTAAGTTTCATTACTAACAAAATATTTTTATCAGCATGCTATTTTAATTTAATGCCTGCCATTTTGACTCATTTTCATAGTTAGAATAGAAAATCCATCAATTATTCCTTTTTGTGATATTATCATTACCTTCCATAGTGCTTAGTATCGTAAATGATAATTCTGTTGAATGTTCAAGCTTGATAATGTTATATGTTGAGATTATTTTATCATTATAATCGTTATTATTGTTGCCTATGATTAAATCTAGTTATTCTTAGTACTTATATACTCGTTTCCTTATATCACTGTGAATTACATCACATATAATAATCTATCAAAATAAAGCCATTATCAATTCAATATCAACCAAATCATTCGTATACAATGAGATCAGAGAGAAGAATTGTATCACCTGGAAGTTTGGATAGAAGATATCCACAAGAATATGATCAATATTATTCATCACCTGAAGCACGACGTGTACAAACAATGAGAGTAAGAAATTGAATAATAACTATACATATATTAATAATCCTTATCAAAGTTAATATGAAGTAGAGCTGAACTAGTATTGTTTACTAATATTCAAATCATATTTAGTTCATTTGAACCAATATACAAACATCTTTCAATATTAATTGTAATATCAAAGTCAAAGGAATTATCAAATATTAAGTGTTTTATGCAATATGAATGTCATGATTCAGTTAACACTTACAACTTCAGAGAGCCTTAAAAATTGTTAGATAAAATATATACTATTGATTTATTAGTAAATAGTATATCTTGAAAGAGTCCAATTTAGAATTAACTGTAGCTACACAATACATCTCCCATCCTTACTAATCACATTGAAGCGGGGTTTTTTTACTGCTATGGAATTTCAGTCACTTTGATTCTGTATTCGGATACTTCGTAATGAAAACAAAGTTGAATATTTCGTTAACGTTTTGCCAAAAATGTGTATTGAATACTTTTGGTAATGACAACATACAGAATATTCAATTTTGACTTCCTAAACTGTATGTAAAACCCATTTTTTTCTTGCTTGGTACTTCCAAAATGAAATACTATGATATATTCAGCGGTTGGTTTTTTCCCTGAAACTAAATATTAAAACAGAACACCTGTTCATCGACTTACAGTCTTCCTTTGCTCTTGACATAAATGATGTAAGATAGACTAATTCTTCCATCAGAAGGGGTTTGTGGAGATTTTTAGAAATTTTCACAGATTGAAATCATGAGTCAGTTGAAGCTAGACCACCATTGAAAACCTGGAAGCACTGGACGGCCGTTTCGTCCTAGTATGGGACTCCTCAGCAGTACGTGTCCACGATCCCGCACCACGCGGGTTGAAGTTAGACATTAACACCGTTGGATGCCGGCTCAATGGTCTAATGGTTAAGTGCCCGCGCGTGGTGCGGGATCGTGGACACGTACTGCTGAGGAGTCCCATACTAGGACGAAACGGTCGTCCAGTGCTTCCAGGTTTTCAATGGTGGTCTAGCTTCAACTGACTCATGATTTCAATCTGTGATAATTCTTCCATTCTTGAATTACCTCTTGATGAATGAACTTGGGAAACAATGTTTTTCTATCCAAAATATACTACTTATATCCTCTCAGTAGTTGCATTTTTGTATCGGCAGATATATTACTATCTAGTCCTTCTGGTATTGTTGATTAATTCAAAATGAAGTTGTCCTTATTCCTACATGATTTCAATGTTAATAATGGAGAAACATTTACCAAGCATCATGATTTGTCACATCTCATGGTGTAAATGAATCATCTAACAACGCTATCGATGAGTGATCGCTTCATTTCAGATTTGGTTGCTGCTACCTATCACTGCTTCTTAAATGAACTTAAAATTAATCAGAAGTAAGGATATAATTATTTTTTTGATTGATATATCAGACAAAGACAACAGTTTTTCATCATCGATATTATGAGTGTACACTACTGAAGAATTTCAGTAAGAAGAATGATAATAAATGACATTTATAATAATTCTCCATAGTTTTTTAGTCCATGTTAAGATAAGCTACTGATATGATTTCACCACTATAACCCCACTTCATAGAAATATAAACATTTATTTCATTAATGATGAGTTCTCTTGTGAAAATAATGACCAGTATGCTTAAGAAAGATGTTAATGGTGATTGACCCACACAAAATTTTGTCTACCCCCAACCTACTGAATTACAAATGAATACCAGATTACATGATTAATGAACTTTAATTTTTAAACACTTAAGAGATGTCGGCTTCTCACTAGAACTCCAGGAGTATCTCATGAAGTGAGTCACTAGTAGGCAGGTGATTATTATCAGAATGGGTTTTGTGAAGATTTTAGAAATTTCACTGGTTGAAATCATGAGTCAATTGAAGCTAGACCACCATGGAAAACCTGAAAATAGTGTTGTACGGTGGCCCAACTTCGTGGATTGGTTGGAGTCAGACATTAACTCCGTTGGATGCCGGCTCAGTGGTCTAGCTAGTTAAGGGCCTGGCACGAGACTGATAGGTCCTGAGTTCAAGTCTTGCGGGGTGCGGGATCGTGGATGCGCAGTGCTGAGGAGTCTCGTACTAGGACGAAACGGCCGTCCAGTGTTTCCAGATTTTCCATGGTTGTCTAGCTTCAATTGACTCATGATTTCAACCAGTGACATTTCTAAAACCTCTACTTAAAGGATGTGTCAACAATTAAAGAGTTACATGAAAGCTTACTGTTAGAGAAAGATAGGAATATAGTGAACCGAATATATTTAGTAGATACATAACAATGATAAATACACTAAATCTTTATAGAATAGTTCCCGAATTTTCACATGTATGAACGGACTCACATGATCTCAATCTAAAACTTAATAATTTTTTGTTCTCATTCTCTTTTCATTGATCTTCATAACTTTCTGTCACTAGACATTTCACTTTCGACTGATGATACATACTACTTATATCTATCGATATCAATAATACACATGACAAAACCACCTTGATCAATTCGTTTGTTCATTTTAGTAAGAGACATACCTTAACAACTTACTAGAAGTTTAATGATTAAAAAACATACTGTATACAGAGCATTGTTCTTGTAATTGTTTTTTTATTAATTTTATAAAATTGACATTTTGCTTATATGATTACAATAGTAGTAGTCTTATTAGTAGTATCGTCACATCTAATGATTTTAAACTGATGTTATTTCTTTTTTTGTAGTATTCACTAGTGAATCACTGATATTCTGATTATTGTTTCCTTCTTTAAGGATCATTTTGTTCCCTCCCCGTTTTTTTAGTTTGATTTACTCCAACTGATAATTTTTCTGGTTAGCGTGTTTTTCAGCGAGTTAGTTTTCTACGGGATACGGTCGCTTAACACATGTCCACTCCCCCCCATTACCCGGGCTTGGGACCGGCAGTAACTCTAGAAGAGCTAAAAGCGGCTACCGGTGACCATACCACATTGAAAGCACCGGTTCTTGTCCGATTACAGCAAGCTGATAAAGATTGTTAATTAAGTGTGATTGATTTTGTGTAAACATTTTGGAATGATTTGTGTAAACTGGTAATAAAGACAACAAATGGATATTGATTTGAAGTAAATTACCAAGTCAAAGACTTCTGACAATTTAGTTCTGTATATACAAATACAATTGATCACTAAGTAGTGAACAATGTTTGTGTGTGTTTGCTTTATCGATTAGTTGTACTGTGATAATTGTCTTAAATGACTTAATATTGCTTGTTCTATATTGTAGTGTTAGGTGATTGTAAATAGTTGATGGGAAACCCTGATTTGTTTTTGTTCATATTAGTTTAGATTCATCCCAAATTAGATCATGTACCTGCAACGATAAGGAGTTACATACCGATGTGGAAGAGCTGTAAAATGATTTCAGGGTTATGTTTTAGTGGTTTTATAGCTTATATCAGTCTTGGATACAAATTATAAAGGTCAACAATCTTCACAAATCTCCCATACTATATATCCATTAATAACTTTAATAAAACCTTAATCTTTATCATTATCTTTATAATTATGATTTAAACAATGCTTAGATTATCTTTTACTGTCTTCTATCTATGCTATGTGTGTTATCTTTTAATACACTGGTGTTATTCCATATATTCTTTATTATTGCTAACAATTATCATCATGTAAGTTCGTGTCATGCATTGTAAAACTTTTGCGATAAATTGTTTTTTTATAAACAAAAATGGATGGTGGCTAGCGATAGAATCCAAGGCTTGCGTCTCATCCTATTTTGGGACTCGTCAACTGGATGTATCTGCATCTTGGGATTGTTGTTGACTCCGAGACTTGGACTCTAGGATGTAGGCGCATCCGTCTGATGAGTGCAAAATAGGACGAAAAGTGCGTCTTGAATTTCACTGCTAGCCACTATCCATCTCTATTTATAATGCTTGTAATTTAATAGCCATATCAAGGCAATCCGCATAGGATACACATATGCCAATAACAGAGGCTGATCAATTACAATCCTAAACATCATTGGAAAGATTCAAACAACCAATACAAAAATGTAATCATTAATTGTTAAAATGGTAACAATAGTTATGACAGTCTTCAAATCGAATAAATTTTGGATTATCTGTAAAGAGAACAATTGTCTTGAGATGGTGGAGAAGATTTGTAGCTCAGATAGATGATTTTGATGAAGTTTTATTCTCTGGGAACAACTATATTTCCTCCATGTCACGACCAAACCATCCAGCTCAGAGAGCAAAACTCCATCAACAAAAATTGTCTTTCTGTCATAATTTTCACTCTACATGAATAAATCAAGATACTTAGTTCTATACTAAATGATCTATTAAATATATTTATTATAGTTTGTATTCCATATCTATGTGGTATGTAAATACATCTGGCCAACAAGTCATAAATAAGATGAGATTTGATTCCTAGATCCTAGTGCTGGCTTCTATCAAGATTTAATCAATAATATGTCGGTTCATCAAAAGAACTACATAGAAAGCATTGCTTGATTTAGATCTCGTATTAGTTTTGAACTTGTATTAGCTATCTTGAGAAAATAAGACGGTTCAACGGGACTCAAACTTACATCATACAATGTCTTACTGAAATATAGTTAGTTACCTTCGTAAATTAAAAGAAAATACAATGACAACGATTTTTTCAAACACTTTGGTTCTCTACAATCAAAAATATAAAACTTCACAAATATTTTAAAGCTTAACTCTAATGTTCCTTGCCTTCAATGCGTACAATTGAACGGCAAATGAAAGATGCACTTTTTACTAGAGGAATGTGATAGATTAATTGATTATAAAGAATATCAAATATCTATGCTCTAATCCCATTATAAGCTTACGTGGTTGGTGCAGAATAACAAAACAGTTCGATTGTACACCTACATGAAGGTCTCAGTCCATATGCTCTTACCTTAGTCAGAACTGTCAGTTAAGATTTCCTACCGAATATCAGTTCTTTTATTTACTTAATGAGTTTAATATACCACAGGAAGGAAATATCGTAAATACATTGAACTGTAAAAGATAAATGGACAATCATTAATCTTTTAAATCTAAGTATGATTAGATAAACAAAGTGGTTATTCAACACCGTTGAATGCCAACTGGTTCAGTGGTCGAGTGGTTAAGCACTTGCACGAGAGACTGATAGATCCTGGGTTCCAATCCCGTGAGGCGGAGTCGTGGATGCGCACTGCCGAGAAGTCCCATACTAGGATGAAACGGCCATCCAGTGCTTCCAGGTTTTCCATGGTTGTCTAGTTTCAATTGACTCATGATCTCAACTAATGAAATTACTAAAATCTCCACCAAACCCCCATTCTGATTCATATTATTTATGTTTACATAAACATTGTATATGTATTTTTCTAATCTATTTAGTATACAGATTATCCAACAAGACCTCGTGTTTATCAACCAACATATCAAGCCGCAACTATGTCATTTAATGAATTTGATCATCATTATAATAATGGTGGTACATTAAAACCGCGTAAACCAAAAATTATTACAGAACGATATAAATGTAGTGAAGTATATAATTGGCCACCGAAATTTCCAAAATTAAAACGACATAAAACTAATCCACCAAAACAAATACATACTGCACAAGATCATATTGTAATTAAACAACAATTAAAAACTACAGCAGGAAATAATTATTCACCTACAGTTCAACAAACAGAACCAAATACAGAACAAATACATTGTACTAAGGTTAGTGAATTTAAGATAATGGAATATAATTTGTAGGATACATCTTCGTAGGGAAATTCATGTTTTCAATAGTGAGCTAACATCAATCGGTTCATGATCTTAATCAAAAATCATGTTACTATGGATATTTTTATTTGACTGTTTATTATTATTGATTTATTTAAACACATAAACATTGGTACAAAAGGACACCAAACACATATGCACCACATTAATCATTCGATTTGTGTGAGGGCTAGGATACTACCCGGGTGATCAAACCGAAACAGGTGGTTTTCTTAGGGTATCATACCCGGAGCTTTCGACCTATAGGTCTGATCCACAAGGTAGTGGAGCATCGTAAGGTGATGCAGTCACATGGTAGCCGGTGATCAACAATAGGTTTATACGCCGTTTGTTCCTTCAAGATACGGAGCCCATATGCACGATTGGTTTGGAATCAGAGTTTTTCAACTCTCCTAGGTAGACTCTCCGTGTCTCTCAAACCGGTTAAAGAGCCGAACATTCGCTTTCTGTTCTCTCAATACTATTATAGATGCTCACTGGTAAGAAGGACAAGAAACCCCTTCACTTTATCAATAAAAGTTTCAAATGACACCTCAATTAAGATTAAGCTGTGGAAAATACAAGCTAAATATATTTGCTTTATGTTTTGTTTGTACAGATAAACAATCAATATCAATCACCGAATTACAAAAGAGAAATAAGTGTTTCGCCAGAACGACAAGTAACTAGTCTTCATTCATTACAAGTAAGTGCTATCGTTATTGTTAATCTATTGCGGTTTTATTAGGTTTTGTAAGAAAGTTAATTTGATTGTGGAGTATTTATTGTCATTATGGAAGGTAGCATCAAATCTGTTATATCCTTGTTTTATCTACTCACTAGTATGTTTTGATGTTGTGTTCAGCGTTGACGTTATAGCGGATATATTATAACCATGAGACTTGTACCACGTGAATTCCATTTGTGAATGAACTACTTTGAGGTCAGAGAGAAGAAACTATCCCACTGCTGACCTGATTGGTTGGGAAGCCGAATGGGAAGATAATTTAATTGGAACAGTACATCCGACTTACTCCTCATTTGAACAACTCAAAATAGGTATATGAATAAATATGTAACTAACAAAACTACAACGTATAAGGAATGAGAAAAATACAACTTTATCCAAACTATGGCTTTAGAAAAAATGAAATACGCTTGCTATCTAGAACACTGATCCGGCATCCAGCGGTGTTAGTATCTAACCACAATCAATTCACGACATCGTGCCACCATCCTTGGTTGTCTATGGTGGATGTCTCACACCTGACATACATTAGCTCCACCTTATACAACCATCATGATTGGTATTGTCACTTAAGGCATTAGTAGAATAATCGGTTTATCTCATTGATTAGATCTCATACATCTAATAACATTGGGAATCGTTTTTATTGTGTTTATGTCTTATTAACACGTTCTAACAAAGGACTGATGTTCTTATTCGGTATCTGGAGCCAAACTTATTGTCACAAGACTTATAATAATCAGCCACCTAAGTCAAATCTTGGCAGAACTCAATTCATCTACGTTTTATTATAATCAAAGAAGTAATTATTAACGATAATGGGCCTCGACCTACTTAATTATATTATGTAAATATTATATATACATGGTAGTGGAAACAATTATTTTCACCATTACTCGAATAGATCATAATATTCAAGATCGACCCATTAACATACAACACAAGACTTATGATAAGTCTTGCGGATTGAACTCTATATTCGTTTCCTAAGCTATTCTGTAACCCCCAAGCTAGAACTATACAGCAACCTGAAAACGAGAGAGAAGACGCAAATTATGCGAGAAGTACTTTACTCCAAAGGTTCATTTTTGTACAGAGAAACACGGGAATTTATAGATGTTAACATTTGTTAAATCAACATCATTTTGGCCAATCTGCTAAAAGACATATTATGCTACTGAAAAATAGTAGCTCGCCACGTTAATATTCTAGAGAGCCCCATCATGCTCTGATTGGCTAGGACTCTTCGGCTCTTTTAGGGTTTCTGGAGGCTCCGTTGCAGTTCTCAGAAAGCCGACTCAACAACTTATACAAAGTATAACATTTAACGTTGACAGAAATTACTAAAATGTACCCCCTGGTATTATTACGTAAATAAACCGTATACACACGAACTTTTAGTAAAATAAACCAAATATTGTTTTCTTATTTCCTTTTTAATCTCTTTTTCACAGAGATCGACTCTGTTAGAAAAATCTAATCGAACACCGGGCACAGAGACACGTGATCAATTATTTATAGCAGATTACAAACTAACACCAAACAATCAGGTATTTTCATTAGAAAAATATAGAGGTCTATTTTGTTTTTGATATTTCGCTAAGTAGAAATTAGAATGTGTTAACGTTTCGTGACTTAATATAAGCTACATTTTCAGAGTAAATAAATAAATGACCGGATTGAATTAGGGTCGGTTTAAATAGTGTGAAGGAACAGGGAGGTTAAGTGTTTACTTGCGAGATTGAAGGTAGTGGATTCGACTCCCAGATCCAGGGTTGTAGATGAGCACTATTGATGAGTTTGATGGAATTTTATTCTCTGAGCTGAATGATTTGATCGTGAAGCTTTCATCATTCTTCTAAACGACATAATCGGCACAAACTTCAGGTAGAAGTCTATATGAAACATCACCATCTGTAGTTGTATGTGTCTTAGTAGATGTTTAAATTGTTAAATCTGTAGTTGAAGAAGTAGAGCTGAAATTTGCGTGAGTGTATGGTGTGAAAAATGAATAAAATTAAATTTGGTTGTTTGTATAAATAGTTTAAGTTGTATGGATAGTCAGGCTTCTGTTTCTTTTTAGGTTAAAGAGATTTAACGTTTCTATGGGATGTCTCAGTGACACGTTTCAGTCTATGATTAAAAAAGTCTTTGTGCAATATTCTGATATTTTCAATATTGATTTGTTAGTTGCTGAGAATAGCATATACTGTTATTTTTAATTTGATTCTCGGATTTTTCCAGTTTAGTCAAATTATTAGCAGATAGATTCGTGCGAATTAAGTTTTCGTTGATACAAGGGAAGAGGTTCTGAAAACATTCTCATCCGACATTGTTTAACACTTTGATATCTTTCAAGTCTTTAAATCTCTATCTCTTCTCTATGTATTTGTATGCATAAAATTTGTAGCAATCTCACTATTCATTCATCCATTGGATACTGCATTTACGAAAAAAAGATAATTTACTCATTTACTCGTTTAGTTTATCTGAATAATAATTTCTTCTCATTAGAGAATAGTCTGCATTAGATCCTCCTTGTTCATTGATGATGCTGTCGGTAAAAGTAAACTTCTCCACCACTTCCAGAGTTTCTCCACCAAGTGTGATCTAGTTGGTGTTTCCTGTGCTGAACATCGGGATCTTTCGTTTTTCTTTATGTATGCTGAGGCTTACTGCTCTAGATGTTGCTGCTACACTGTTTGTCTTGACTTTTATTCTTCGGTGTGTATGAGATAGAAGGGCTAGGCCATCTGCAAAGTTAAATCGTCACGATGCATCCAAGCTGTGCATTGTATTCCGTGCTTCTACTGAAATATTGAGGTCTACATAATCCGATCGACCAACTGAAGAAAGAGAAAAGGTGAGTGCAAGCAGCCTTGTCTGAAGACGTTCTTCACTTGGACTGCATCTGCCAGCTGTCCTCCATGCACCAATTTGCAGTGTGGTCCGTCGTGTAGGTTACGTATGGTGTTGAGGTACACAATGGTCTCGAACAAGGTTCCACAAATTTCTCTTATTCACACTGTCAAACACTTTTTCATACTCAAGGAAGTTGATATATAATGACGAGTTCCATTGGACCGACTTCTCAACTATGATCCGTAGTGTCGTGATTTGGTCTGTGCACGACCGATCCTTACGGAATCCAGACTGTTGATCTTTAAGTTGGTCGTCTACCAAACCTTTCATCCGGTTCAGCAGCACTCTGTTGAAAACACTTCCTGGTACCGATAGTGATGTGATGCCTCTGTAGTTCCCACACTTGCTCAGATCTCCGTTTTTTGATATATTGTCGAGGTGTCCTTCCTTTCAGTCCGTTGGATCCTGTTCTTCCTCCCAAATCTTCCTGAATAGAATGTGGAGCATTTTTGCAGTTACTTTTGTGTCTGACTTTAGTGATTACCAGGTACATTGTCAGGTCCTGCTACTTTACCACTCTTAATTTTTTTTGGTAGCCATCCTGATTACTTCGATCGTTAGTGGTGTGATATGTACTAGAAGTTCTGTATGTAATGCTTCGATGTCCAATGGGTTCAGTTCTCATAAAACTGATCTTTGTCGTCTACATTGCTATCATTGGTGGGAACATAGTTCCGGATGGAGTTCTTTCTAATCCCGTTTTTCATTGTTTAGAAGGATGTCTTGATGATTCTGGATCCATGAGCTCCCCATCTCACAAATTCTGTTAGTGCCTCTTTGGACAGCATCAGTGTAACTCTTTGTATGTGCGAAATATTTCCTTCTTCATGACCAGAGTACGACAGCATCTCTTCCAAATCTAATGCTTTCTGCTCAGCCTGTGTCCAATAGGTTTTACTTATTCCGAGTATCACCAATTTGTATCCTCTAATTACAACAGCTACTTAATTGGCCATTTCGGCCTTCCATATTATACGGACATTCTATATACCTATATTAACTGTTGATCTGAATGTCAAAACAAGTATCAGCCTTGTGGTATCTGATAAATGCCAGTTTTCTCCGTGAGGCGTTATAACCCTTCTAGTATGAATATCATTCAACTCCCATGTCAGGGTTTGAATCGTTCACATGGTTTTGTTTGTGGTAAGCCTTCTTTAGGAAGATTGTCTCCTACCAAATGGTGTTGCTAATCCCATTTTTAGCTCTCTTCTTTTATTTGGGTTCCGGACCGACAGTAGCCTTAGAAACGCTCCAAGTGAAGGTACGAACGTGTTTTACAGAATATTATTCTATCCCAATAAGTGAATGTTAAAGCGTTTGCAAATGACAACCTAACTGAAATTCAAACATATTTTATACATTGTTAATAAATGGTTTGATGTAGAAAAACAAATGTTAAACATTTCAAATCTTTCATTTTGTACTCTTTATGAGATATCAATCTTTTAGGAGAATATTACATCGCAGAATGAAACTGACTGAAGAAAAATCGAAAAATAACTAGCGTTATCTAATGCTACTTAATTGTTCATTGTACCTCAAATAAATTCAATCCATAATGAATACCTTCTATAAATTAAAATAATCTTCAACAAATCTTTATTTGTAATCAAAGAAGAGTTTTGTGAATATTATAGTAATTTTAATAGTTGAATTCATGACTTAATTGAAGTTAGACCATAATGAAAAACCTGGAAGCATTGAATGGCCACTTGATCCTAGCATGAGACTCCTCAGCAGTGCGCATCCATGGTCTCACCTCGCAGGACTCGAACCCGGGACCTATCAGTTAACCTCTAGACCACTGAACCGGTTGGTATCCAACGGTGTTAATTTTTAACTTCAACCAATTGACGAAGTTGCGCCAATGTCCACCACTGTCATCAGGGAGTTACTATCTCATAACAGACCCAGTTAAACTTCACTGATCACAGTTTCGCACTAGAACTCCAGGATTTTGTTTCTAGTGTGTGTTTTTTTCCTTTTATTATGTGTCAACAAATAAATCTTCACTCCTCATAAACAGTACTATTACTACTAATAATAATAAACCTATATATTCACTTTAATAAATTAGACATCTTCAGTGCTTATTCGTTACAAACCACAGGTAAACACATTGAATATAATCCTATCACTATGTTTTATAAACAATTACACTTCTTCAATGAATTAAGTTGATTAGGATGTTCTTTTCTTATATTCAATATATAACATAATAGATTCTTAATAATGGTGTTTGATGAAGGTGAAGTTGTTTTAATATAATGACTCTTTAATGATTTCTTAAAACATCATCTTATTGGATAGATTGAACGTTTTTGTATTATACAAAATATTAACCGCGTTAGATTTCAAATTTATTAGTATTGCTTTAGTTGCTTTATTACTATTATTATTTTATCCTTGAAACTTATGATCATTTGTTCCGTTTCCATGATCAATGATCAATAATACAGCGGTAATTTCCATCTCAACATTCACATCGGTGAGTCTATAATTCATGGGCGACCTTTGGGCGACACTAAAGTGACCTAGAGCGACCGCTACTTAATAACTAGGACCAAATGAAGATTATAAACCAGTGTAAGGAATACGAATTATGATGTCTAGTTGATAGTTATGGCTAGGAATTATGATTTAGGTTTTTCATCACGACATCATGACATCAGCTATAATGCCAAAACTCTATTTAACCAAATGGAAAAGTGAATTTCGCGCCAAAATTCGAGACCAGTATTCTTATGTTTCACAGATTGAAATCATGAGTCAGTTGAAGCTAGACCACCATTGGTTTGTCCATAAATTATAGTCTCACTGTACCACATGATAAGGAAGGAATGTTTAGTTTTCTATGTTCAACTCCAATGGTCTTAGTTAATTTGTTCTATATTTTAAAAACGTATGAATTACATAATTATTCTTCGAAGACATTTTGACATTGAATATTATTTATTCAAATGAATTTTTCAAATCTGTTCTCGAACTTAGCACAGGCAAATTGTTCCATGTTATTCAATATTCATTAACAAGATGTACGTACAATCCACAGGAAACTTATCCTTGCTGTGGGATTTAAAATCGATTCATTTAGTTGCACAATGTTAGAGGTTATTATTGAGCTATTCAGGTGGCCGCTAGTCTGTTGTAAAACTGTGTTTGAAATTGATGATTTACTGAATTGTAGCCAACATCAAAATTGATTACTTTTTAGCACTGATCGAATTTCATCAATCAGAATTTCAGGTTGAGGTTTTAAAACTATAGTAACATACTATAACATACTATTTTAGACAATAGAGGTAGCAAAATATATGATCATTCTCAAATCAGTTCACGCATTTATACATATAACAACGATCTACTGAATTCACATGAAGAAGCGCACAGTTCGTTTTTTTTCACCATGATTCAATTAAAAGTAGGAAACTCATGAAAAGTAGAATCCTTTGCAAAATTCATTTTATAGATTTCATTTTGATTTGTTATTGTCGACTAGCTCCAACCACCATCTAATCTCGACATAGTGCACTCAGTGTCGAGCCACCTAGACTGGTGGCCACATTGCAACTTGGTCGATAGCATTCGATGTGAATTAAGAAGTACTTAACGCACATAACATTGA